TTTTTTAAAATATTCGAGATACCGAATTTTTTTATATACATTATCACACTTTTTAATTTGTACCGAACATTTTACTTGACTTACCAGATTTTTTGTCCAATCTTTTTAATAAAATTTTAACATGAGTAATATGGATATTATGAAAATATATGAGATAAAATGTCAAATTGTGGGGTAGCTGGATAAATTATGAGGATTTCTTAATGCATCATATATGTTACTTAGGCACCACATAAAAAGACTTAAATGCCCTCCGATTTCTGAGATGCATCTCTGGAGCACCCAATTCTAAGTTAATGTCAAAACACCCTGGAAATGCATCTTCGTACTTATTCCGGAGATGCATCTTTGGACGCACTCAATTCTAAGTTATTGTCAAAACACCCTGGAGATGCATCTTCATACTTATTCTGGAGATGCATCTATTAAATTATTTAGAGCTTATATCACGCCATAACCTTTCTTCTTCCTTATTTCATCAAAAACTCAAAAGTCTCTCAAATTATTTTCTTTCACAAAGTCCAAAATTAAACAATCAAGCTCAAAGGGTCGTCAACTAACATCAGAAACATCATCCAACACTGAAGCAAAGGTAAAAACTATAAGTTTTTGATGTTTTGATAAGTATTTTTTTGAGTTTTTGTGTAAATGAGTAGAAAACGATGATTTAGGTGTCAAATGAGTAGGAAGTGCTATAATGTTAGTTTATACATGCGGTAGAACTAGTTTTTTTTTTTGTTGAGAATCACCGTCAAACTATTTTTTTTAGGTATTTTGAGGATTTCATTTCTGCATTGCCTCAATTGATGAACTGAAGATTTGCAGAAAATTTCGGAGATGCATCTCCATAAAATTTTCAACATTTGGATATATATACTTCCAAACATATATAGGACAGAGATGTAGCATTATCTGGATTCATTTTTGTAAATTTATGTTTATTAATAGATTACACATTTCTTACATTGGTTTTTATTTTTTGCGAGACCGTAATCCGCTGAAGTTTATTAACCACATGCGGAAGATTACGGGCTTGCCTCAGCCGAACGAGAAGAGGTTTCAGACAATTTTGTCTCTATCTGGGATGAAGGACTTGTGCATGACCAGTTATATTACGACCAACCATGGGATGCTTAACGCATTCGTTAAGAGATGACACTCTGAGACCTCGTCATTTCATCTTCCGCGTGGTGAGATGTCTATCACACTCAACGATGTGTCATGTTTACTACATCTTCTGGTAAGGGGGAAACTTTTAGATCATGAGAGGATTATCAAAGATGCGACACTCAAGATTTTGGTAGACTATCAGGGAGTTGACCCAACGGATGCGATGAAGGGGTTGGATAGAACCAGAGGTGGTCATGATAGGTTTGAATTCTTGAAAAAGGTATACACATATGAGATCGTTAGAGCACATCATGCTACAGGGGATGATGAGCAGGTGGGGCTCCATGGAGCGTATGCTATGGGAGCATACTTGCTATATTTGGTTGGCATTACGACTTTTGTGGACAAGAGTGCCATTTATACATATGTCGTCTACATACGATACTTCAAGGACTTCAAGCATATCCACGAGTACAATTAGGGGGTCGCTTGTTTGGTTTACTTGTACTCAAAGTTATCAAAGGGATGTAGGTGGAAGACTGTTGGCTGGAAGTTTTCGACTGAGGAAAGGTGACACATAAATTGGCTTGTGGGATGACAGGCTAGGAAAGGAGGTGAAGGAAACAATGTGAGTCGACGCCAGCAGAGGGAGTTTGTGAGTCGACTCAGACCTATTTTCATCGAAGGTGTCGATTGGTGGGCAAGGAAGTCAATGCGAAGTATGAGAAAGTTTGAGCGGGAAGAAAATTTGAAAAGCTGAGAACATGGGAAGTTACAAAAGTGGTGGAAGGACATGTGGTGACACCAAAGCCAACATGACAGTTATTTTATTTTCCTATTTAAGGCAATGCCCATTTTCATTTTAAAAGGCGCATTTTGTAACATTGTAAGGGAAAAACACTCTAAGTACCAAGCGTTAAGAGAAAAGAGTTTCATTCCTGCAAAATGTACTATCGCGTCCACATTTCCTTTTAAATCAATTTACATTACCAACTTTAAGATATCTTGTTGCCTTTTCTCGTTTACTTTATTCATCTTTCATTCAAGTTTACACATTTTGTATTCAAGATTATTTCTAATTTGTTAAAACAAACCATTCAACCACCATCGCATATACTCGACCAGATAGTTCTGGGACTTGTTTGGCCGGTCCCGCAAGTAAACATGTGTTAGGAGGTAAGAGGTTGTTTGCGCGAAAACTGCGTGCGAACAAAGACGAAACAGGTCATCGACATCATCACATTATTGATAGTAATATTTATTGGTCTTTTAACCCTTCCGTGTCATTTTCATTTCATCGTTGCAACACCATTACTGACAATTCATGTGTTCCATATTTTTCAGGCTTGGACCGTCTAGCACTTCCCGCGCATATCCGGTTGGATGAGTGTACCAACTTACACTAAGGATATGTTGCGTCTACTGCATTTGCCATGCTCAGAGGGAACCATGCGATATAGCAGTTTAGAGTGTATAAGAGCCATTTGATTGCTGAGGACATGCACTTCAACAATTATGTAAATCAATAAGAAATGTGACCATTTGACAAGATAATGCTATACTTAAGATGGTTGGCATGCAGATCACATCCCACTACTACTCATCTGCCAGAGTGCGTGATGCAGCTGTTCAGCTACACTCAGACCATTCGTAGACACCCTGTTAATGATTATGAGAGTCATTTGGTACTGGAGGAGACATAGAGTACTATAGCTGAGAGTGATTTGAGCTACGTATACGAGTACATCAGGTGCTTCTTCAAGTTGTCGCATTCGTGATGCATGCTGCTATATGAAATCCACCGAGGCCAACTCATCATGAGATACTAGAGGAGGAGCAGACACAATTAAATCATGTTGATGATGTATTGCTTAGATGTTGTCGCATAATGGAGATTGCGCAGATATGCATTGACAAATGTATCTTTTCTGATGGGTCTAATGTAAGACAGGTCCTAGATGCCATCATGACGGAGAAATGAGGGGCACTGATGTACCTGAGACAGCACTGGAGGGTAGAGGGATTGATGGCCGATGAGTCCGAGGAGATGAAGTCCGACTTACACAGTAGTGTAATAGTATATAATAGTTGTACTCCGTATTTATCATGGATTGCATTTTATTTTCACCTCACACTACTTTATCTTTGTTTTCAATATTATTTGCATGCCATTTTTTGACAATTTGAATTTATATACGTCATGTTTTGCATATTAATTGTATGGTTTAAATCTCGTCACATGATATTATACATAACACTTATATCTTCATATGAATACACATAAACAAAACGTAACACATCTAAGTCTGTTTTGATATGTATCTCCGATAAAATGACTTATAAATATGATGTTTAATATATATTTTAAATTGTTACAGAGAAATATCTTCAATTTTAAAAATATTTAAATATTTTCACGTAAAGCTTAAGAAATATGAAATCCCCGAGTTTAGTTTGTATAAGCCCACACACATGAAGGCCTATGAAATTGAGAAGAATCGTACCGTACACGAAAGTAAAACCGGGGAACGAAGCGGTTACCGCCACCGCCACGCTGGCCTTGAAAATTAAGTGGGTCCTTTAGTTCTTTTTCTCTTTCCCACTTTATTTATTCATTACAAAATTTCACATTAATTCTTCCCGCGCGCACACTGTTTCTTTCTTCCCTTCCCAATCCTCTCTTCTTCCTCTTCCTCCGCGATTCAATTTCACCACCTCCTCCGTTTCAGCTTCTCCAAGGTTCCAATCTCAATCCAACTCAACTTCTTCAATTCCACTTGTTTCCTTTAATTTCACTTAATTGTTCTTTATTCCTAAGTTACTTAATTACTATACCTGATTTATATTTCCATGCCGTGAATCTGAGTATCATTATTTTTTACCTTGTTCTTCATTTTATCGATATCTTTTGTGTCGATTTTTTGTTTTTGATGTAGCGTAATCATTTGATACGGTTTTGACGCGAGTTGAGTTCGAATTTTGATGTTCCTTGTAATTTGAATCAGGTAGATATAGTCAAATTAGGGTTTGTAGTTGGTGGTTTACGATGATAATGATGAATTGGTTTTCTGTTATATGTTTGTGATTCAATTCACGATTTGGACTGTGGGATTGACTATTAGATCTGCCTCCATTGTAATTTTGTATTCTCTTGTTGGAAGTTTGGCATATTGAATAATTGTGTAAATTTTAGGGTGAAAAATAAAAAATTATTATTTAACTAGAGAAGGAAAGGGGTTAGTTACAACTAGTTCAGGAGATTTTGCAAATTTTCTATCTGCCATACTAATTTGTAGTTAATTGCACAGTTTTTATCAAGCGAAATTGTACTCAATTTCCTCGAGGTTTGCATAAATGAAAAGCACGTTTAATATTTTTACTCGCAGATGTATCTACCTCCCTTATTTTTTTAATTAGATTGTTGACTCTTGAGGTGGTGAGTTTCGCATGATTAAACAAATAAGGGAAAGAGTGCTTGTTTCAAAGATTGAATGTGTGTGTGTGTGTGTTATTTAAACAAATTTAAAGCGGGGGTAGTGCAATTTTCCCTTCTTTTTGAACTTGTACACTGGTGCCTCTGTTTTAATTCCGATGTTTGAAAGTTCTTGAGAGCTGGCAATTGACTCCACATGATAATCTGAAACTCTGTCCGGGCCCTTTTGCTAGTTTGTTATTTTGATGTTATACTGTAGGTACTGAAAGTGAACCTGGATGATTTTCATTTGATTAATTTTCTGCCAGCCAATTTTAAATACACTCTGTTGTCTTTAATTGTTCTTCTAATTTGTTTCTTTTGTGTTTTGTTTTTCTTCTAGTCATTTGTTTTTTGTTAAGAACCATACCAACAGAGATCATTTTATCATTAACACTCTCAGGAAGGTTGAACTATCATGAAAGCAGGGCGGTCGAAAGAAAGCAAAGCTGTTAAGGCTTCTAGAAAATCCAGTCTAAAATCAAGATCCATTGGAGTGAAAAATTCTTCCAAGAAAGCAAATAAATTGAATCACAAAGCAAGAGGTGACTAGCTTTTACCAATCTACCGGTTGTGTTGCTTTAATAATTGTTTGGTTTCATTTTATCCTCCCTCTTGTACTTGATTTGTTGTGTTCGTATAAGATTGAATTTGTGTAGGTTCAATTAATCTGCTAGAGTTGTGTTTGTTAAATAAATGTTTTTTTTAATGAATGAGGCAACACTACTTTTGAAACCTATACAAAGATTCAATTTTCATTATTATATATACATTTTATTTAATATAGTTAAACTTAAACCCTTTTCTCTATAGGTTGCAGTGAGGAATTGTTGTCTGACAAAGAGAATCAGCATTTTCCAGTTAAGGAATCTGGGGGGTTGTGCTCAGAGCATCCTACTGAAGATACATTTCATGTGAAATTGAGAGAAGCTCTTGAAGTTGATCTTCATCCAAGACAAACACTCACTTCTTCTGCAAAAATCAAATTGCAACTTTTTCCAGCAAATGAAGAAATTCGAACAGGACTTGAAAAGGTTACATGGTGGCATATGAAACATTTGAACAAATTTTTATACTTTACAATGTCCTAGTCTGCATGTATTAAGTCTGGATGCTTAGTTGATTTTCTTTTTCAGGACGGGCATAATCCATACTTAGAACTTACGCTAAGTGGTAGAAAGAAAATTTCTTCAGTTCTAAGACACATTGAAAAGAAGTGGGGAAGTTCAAGTTCCGCCAAAGGGGAGCCCATGCTTTTTCCGTACGACAGAATGGGAAATCTAACTGATTGCAAAAGGTGGACGATTAATGATAATGACACTACAGCCACAGCTGTCTATGCTGCTGTTGGAAACCCCTCAATTTTCCGGCTGAAGTATGAAGACTAATCATTTTCTATGATAATATTTTTTTCTATGTTGAGACTAGGTAGTTTGTGTTGTAAGTTTTAACTATTTCTCTATCTTTTAAAGGTATGGTTGGTTTAGCATACATGAGCCTACTTCATTTGGTATATCCTCCATGCTGGTTCCCTGTGAGTTTGGTGTACAGTCAGGAGGAACAGATACAGGTTGCAATGCTAATTTAGAGACTTTGTGTGATGAGCGGGACAAGATTGAGGCAACTACAGAATACAAAACAACCGACGAGGGCAATGTAACAAGTGAAACTGTGGCTCAGAAAATGAACAAGGAATCTACTGATCCTCAGGTACACTGTTTCTTAGATATTTTTGTTGTGTTACAATAACATGAACATAGGTTCATTGCATTGAATTAAACACAGATTTTATTTGAAGACACATGGCGTTGCTGGTGGATTTGGTTTATACAAATATTAGGCTCCATTTTTTTTTCTCCTATCATGTTTGCAATCCTGAAATAAAAAATGAGTGTAAACTGTAAAAACATGTTTGCCTTTGTCCAGTTGTTCTACAGTGAATTTCAGAGAACAGAATCAGTATTGTTTTCAAATTCTGTAAATGTTGAAAAGTTCTTTTCACAGTTTCTGAAAATGCCACTGTTATTCACAACCTACAAATAGCTGTTGAAATGAAAATTTACGTATTTTGAGAACATTTTTGGGAAGTAAACCCCCCCTAGTTTTAGATGTGTAGATTGAGGAATATCAAAATGGTTTTGTTGATTATTTACTCTTTGACCAACATAATTATATGAAATTTTTTGGCATATATTATATGGACCTGTACACGAAAAATTAAAAGTTTAGTTAATTAGCACATGGATAGTTTAAACTTAAAAATACCTGTTTTATTATTTTTTTATTTATTTATTTTTGCATAAATAAAATTCTTATTAGTTTTTTGATGATACCGTATTACATGTTGGAGAAATCAGTTGGCGGTTGGTCCTGAATTTCAAAATGAATTCTTAATACCAGTCCTCTATCAGATAAATGTAGCATGTGTTATTATAACAAAAAATAAAACTCTGTTCCAGTACATTCCATAAAAATGTTTGTTTTCTAATCATGCTCATTTTGTTTCTAATCATGCTTGTTTCCTTTCTAACTAGGATAATGAGCCAAAAGAAGGTTGCAGCCTTCAACAAACATCAATGCAATGGGTTGATTGTCTAGACAATATAAGCATTGGTGGCCTCCTGTCTGAAGCATCATTACTGGGAAAGTTTGATTCAAAATTATTTGGCAGCAATGCTACCAGTCAAACAGGTCATTTAATATCAGATTCATTGGATGCTTTTATCAACTGCAGAATTAATCATCCTCCTGTTTCAACACAATCTGCTGGAGCCTTGCGCGCCTCAATATTGGATGCTGAAGAAACATGTCATGCATTTGCTCTTAAGAAGTCATCTCCCCCAGTAGATGCGCAAACTGCTAGTGCAACAGAAACAGCTTATTCTGCGGCCTGTAGTCAGGATGCATCTTCAAACTTATTCAAGCTTCCATGTACAGACAAGGTCAGTTACTAACAGTCTTAATTGAAATCTATTACTGACCAAGTTCTTCTATTGTTTCTTTTTAGTTACTTCTCTTCCAACGGAATAGTTGATTTTGAAATACAAGGTCTAAGATTTATAAAACCAACCTCTGAACCTCCAAATTGCATTTGATGAGTTTTACATCCCAAATGTTTTGGTCTTCAACTTAGGTTTGAAAAAGATAAATGTTGATAAGAAGACAACATGTAATCGGTTTTTATATGCTCTTTGAACTCTTAGTAATGGCAGAGCTCCTGTGAATAGAATGCTTAAAGTTTCAAATGAACCTAAGGCTGCAAAAAATGCACTGCTAATAGAACAAATTCTAATGTTGCATTGTGATAGAAATCAGAATCCAAATTGTTGTCAGATTGAGATTATGTGTCTATTTGTAGTTATAAGTTCAATAGAAGCTGTTTTTTATCCATTATTATTCATTAAATTGCACTTTGTCTCTTATGGGTTTTTATAAAGGTTAATGATCAAGTTGGACTTTCACAAAATCCCTTGTCTCAGAAGACTCAAACAGATTCAATGCTTTCTTCACGTTTGTTTGATGATGAAAGAAGTCTTGGGTTAGCAGGCATCAGCTGGGTATTTAATATTATTTTAAAGCACTTCATTGTTTGTTTTGATCTTTTCTTGATTTTTTATTCAACTAATCTATTATGTTAATGCAGAATGACTCTTTGGGACCTTTCGATCTTGGCATGCAAGCAAAGAAACACATTGGCGGCGGAGACAGTGTTAGTATTGGTGAATTTGTTAAATAGGAGCTTAGATGTAAAATAGTGTGTTTGGTTTATAACTGAGGCACATTAGAATGTACTTCTAAATAAATTGTTGTTGTGAACTCAACAAGTGTTTCACCTTTTCCAGCTCCAATCCAAACACACTATAGTAGAAAAGAAAAGAACTTTTTTTGTTACTATATAGAATTACTTGTAGAGAGTCAGAGTCTAAAGACCAGGGTGAAAATGATAAGAAAGAAACGAGGGACAGAATACTGAGTTGCCAAGTGTTAAAATCATAGTTTGGGGACTTGCATTTTGCTCTTGAATTAGTTCTGATATACTAAATATTTCAATTCGGTTGCTTTGCCATATATTTGGTGTCGGTGTCAAGTGTTCATGAGTTAAATTATAAATAAGATGTCTAATCTTTCACCCGTGCATTGCACAATAAACTTCATATCTATGCAACCAGGAAGAGAAGAAGGCTATTTATATTCATAAACTCAACAATTTAGTGTTCAAGTTTTACAATAAGCTTTTTATAGTTCTAAATATTAGACTGTTGATATTAATTTATAATATTAGTATGAGATTCAATTTAAGTAAGTTATTTTCAACATTGAAATTACAACCTTGAATATATCAAAATCTTATTTTACAATATATATAGGACTAGGTATTCTACTATATACTGTACATCAAATTGATTGTTTATATTTTTGGTGAAACTTGACTATAATATGAGTTAAATTTAATATTTGAAAGAATTCATATGCAAATATTGAAAGCTATCTTGTAAAAAGAAGTGGAATTTTAAAAAACATATTCATTCAAATTAAAAATTAGAAATAGATTGAAGCTTGGCTACAGACATGATTATGAAGGAGTAACAGGAAGAAATAATGGGTGCATCATATAAAATGAATTTACTCTACTGATGTTATTTTGAATACTCACCCATCTAACGCAGAGGGAGGAGTGCCAAATGAATTTTGAGAGTAGAAAATTAATTACAGTAATTTTGTAAAAGGGAAAAAGAGAATAATTGAGTTTATTTATTTATATGTGGTGTGTAGTGAGGTGTACGATAATGGCAGCATTGTGAGAAGAGGGGTTCGTATAGTTTCATACTTAATCGCCATGGACGGAGATAGCTAAGTTATATGACGACATTGAAATCATCCTTTCTCATAATTCCAAAACAAAACATCTCTATTCTCAATCATGCCGGCAACTATCTGTAAATCATAGAAGAAACGAAACTTCCATGCACCTTCCTTTTCACCTTATCTATATATATATCTTCTTCCACCTGTTTCCTTTTTTTAATATTAATTCATCTATATATATCTACCACAAGAATATCCTTTCAAGTTCATTCTTTCAGATAAACATCATGGGATGTGTCACTAGCAAGTACACTCCCCCTCGACACCGAAACCGGAGCAGACACGTGGAAAGTTTAAAAGACCAGCCTGCATTCAAACCTATCATCCATAACAAGAATCATCCATCCAAACATGTTCAAGTGAAGACTAAGAAGAGAGTTGTGATTGTGAATACTACTACTAGTGCAGCAGAAAAAGGAGAAAGGGTTGATGATAAGATAAAAGATGTAGCTAGAGATATTGATGATGATAAGTCTGAAGAGGGGAAAAAGAAGAAGATGAATGCAATATATGATGTTAAAGTGGGAGAAGATGAGTGGCCCAAATGGCTGGTTGAAAATATCTCCCAAAATGTTTTAGCTACTTTGATTCGCAAGACTGCTGATTCCTATGAAAAACTAGGAAAGGTAAGTAATTATAGTAACTACACTAAGCACTATTTTATGTGTTAATGTTATACTCACTTGTTGATTTGGTTATTTTATAGGTAGGACGTGGAACTTATAGCAATGTATATAAAGCTAGAGATAAGGAGAGCGGAAAGATAGTTGCTTTAAAGAAGGTAAGATTTGACACTTCTGATTCTGAGAGCATCAAGTTTATGGCAAGAGAGATTATGATACTACAAACATTGGATCATCCCAATGTTATCAAACTTGAAGGACTAGCAACATCAAGGATGCAATATAGTCTTTATTTAGTCTTTGAATACATGCAATGTGACCTTACTAGAGTTATCTCACGCCCTACCGAGAGACTCACTGAACCACAGGTTAGATTTTCTTTTTCAATCAAATGATTTTAGTTTAGATGTTTGTCAAATTTGTGATTTCTTGTATGCGTCAAAAAATAATACCCTTCTTTATCGTATGCGTGGTTTTTCAAACCTATTCAACCAAATCAAGTGTGGGAGGATTCTAGTATAACAATTGAGAATTGATTGGGCGGGTCTTATTGGAGCTTTTGAGACATATTCAACCAAATCTCAAGTTTGGGATGATTCAGGAACACTCACAACAATTACGTTAATCTACCATTTGAGAATTGATTGGACGAATATCAAACTCTATTACAAAAGTGACCGTTAGTATAATTTAAGATGCTTAAAAAATATTAGGACTAAGAAATATTTTTTTTTTTTACATAAAGTATTGAGTTGGAATCCGGGATTCACTAGGGTTAAGGCAATCTTCAAGGCACAATACAATTTCAAGGCACAATGAACATGTGCGTGTGAGATAATATTTTGCCAACAGAATTGACATTTCTTGATATAAGATATAAAATTTGATAATTGGTATTAACAAATTTTCAAATTCTTCTAACAAATTAAGCAATAATTCGATTCGGGGTCAGTTTTGACATTAAGTTGTTTTAGTCTTCTCTCGATCGCAGATGCGGAGAATCAAATTGTGACCATCTTTACCAAATTCAACGCGAATCATCACGGGATCAAATAACGATCAATAACAATAACATTTTTCTTATAAAAAGTAAAGGATTATTTCTTTTAATAACCATTGGTTATAACTTAATTTATGCTTGACAAAAACATTATAGAATTTTTGACCAAAACTTACCAATATATATAGTTTTTAGATTATGATGATTGGAAGTGGCGGATCTAAAATTTTTTTTAACGAAGGCATAAAAATAATTTATAATATATTTTTAAAATAATGTTTTAACTTTTTTTTATATAATATATACAATTAATAAAAAAATATGATTACTTTTATATTAGGGTGTTTTTTCATTTTAAAATATGATTAATTTATATTATAATTAGTATTATTTATTAACTTTCTACATTTGTTCATTTTAATAATTTAATTTATCAAAGAAGAATAAACTATTTTATTACGAGAGCAAATTGAAAAATATAACAATTTTTTAAGCAAAATGATTTTTTTGGGGGGCTTGAGCCCCCTTAGTCATATATATAGATCCGTCCTTGGATTGGATTAGTGGTATATGATGAAATATAATAGAATGAAGCGATAAATAATTAAATTTTATTATTTAGATATATAAATAATGGATAAAGCCGAAAAAGATATAATGAAATTAATTTCATCAAACCTTGGTTTTTATTCCATCTACTTTGCAAACAATATAATGAAATTCCTGTTCAGTTTCACTCCGTCCCACTTTATTGGGTTCTACTTCCATCAATTCAAACATAATACAAAGTGCCTACATATTTAATATTTAGTTCAACACTTTGTGATAATATGATAAGTGTAGTTGTTTGTATTTTGTACAGATAAAGTGTTACATGCAACAGCTGCTTTTGGGACTTCAATATTGTCATGAGAGAGGAGTTATGCACAGAGATATTAAAGCTTCAAATTTGTTAATAGATACAAAAGGGGTGTTAAAAATTGCTGATTTTGGGCTTGCAAATTCTTTAAAAATAAAACCTAAAGGGCCTCTTACAAATAGAGTTGTAACACTTTGGTATAGAGCTCCTGAACTTCTTTTAGGTTCAACTGATTATGATTATAGCATTGATATATGGAGTGTAGGTTGTTTGTTGGCTGAAATGTTTGTTGGAAGACCAATTATGCCTGGGAGGACAGAGGTAAAACTTAATTTGGACTTTATGAATAAAAAATTGTAGTAAACTATGTAATATATATCAATGTAAATGAAGATTCTTTTATGCATATAGATTGAACAGATTCATATGATATACAAACTTTGTGGTTCACCTTCAGAAGATTACTTGACAAAAATGAAGTTAAAGACAAGCTTTCGTCCACCACAACGTTACAAAGCTAGTTTTGAAGAAAACTTTAAGGATTTTCCTTTGTCTGCTCTTAATCTCTTGACTACACTTCTTGATCTTCACCCCCAAAATCGTGGCACTGCTGCCTCTGCCCTTCAAACTGAAGTCAGTTTTTCTCTTTTTGCTTTTATTTGATCTATTTACTTTGTCACAGAATTAACAAATTTGAATTGACAATGATTTGTAGTATCTGTTGAAGACATGTATCATTTTTATATTTCAAATTACAATTTGACAAGTGTTTACTACATGCAGTTCTTCAAATCTCATCCACTAGCATGTAGCATTTCAGAATTACCGGTAATAATCAATAAAGGGGATGGTGAACGCTCTCAACATAAGAGACGCAAAAGGTATGCATTCATTCTAAAATTGAAAAAAGTTTTCTTTCCTGCATTGTGGCTTCTGTAAATGATATTTCTATGTAACCGTTGTAGCATTGGACTAAACTGATCTGTTTATTGTTTTTCATGATATAGGCGCAAAGGTTTGAAAAAGGGGCAACTATCTAAAAGAAGTGCAAGCAATTTAAGCCTATCAGGAATGAACCAAACTCCTGAAAAAGGCAAGACAGATTCAGAAACACCAAAGGAGGTCAGTTACACATTTCACAAAAATAATTTAAAACTAGTAATTGGATTCCTTCCATCACACAGTTGTCATTTAAGGGCGAAGATTTGTTGTAAAGAGAGGTTGAAGATTTGGAAACATGATAGAAAAATATTAAGAGAATTCTTTCCCCCAAATCTATACCTGCATGAATGGATAACCTATCAATCTACTGGCTTATATTAATTTTACAACATTGGTTATAATTCAGAGAATAACTTGTATCCTTTGGTTTTCACAGGAGAAGGGTATAGAACAAACCATGCTGGGACAAGAAACAGGAAATAGTGGAAGCAGCAGATCTTCATCAATATTTACTAGCGAAAGGAGCATGAATGCATCTATATCCCCAGTTTTTCTCTCTAGCAGTAAAATATCCCCTAAAACTGAAGGCCATCCTAATGCTCTAAAGAATATAAAAAACTACACACTCTTACAGGCATCTATACTTGATATGATCAACCCAAAAGAAGGCAACGATTTTGGTCAGTTTCGCAGGTCCTTCTCAACATTGGATTTTCGGCTTGACCCTGAGAAGCTATCAAGTCTCTACGGATCAAAGTTGGATCATGAAGTGTGACTCTTGTTCCATAATGCACACCGTCTAAAGTTTCAACATTTTAGTTCTAATACCATAGTAATAGAGGAGAAACAAAGACATGAAATGAAGAGGATTTCTACTTCAGACATATTTCCTCTAGAATGAAATATAAGCAAAAAGTATATCTGAAATAGATAGGTCGACTTTTCACATACCACTTTTGCTTTTATTTCATTCTGGAGGGAGTATGCCATATATGATTGATTTGCATTGGAAGTTGGCTAAAATATGAAAGTCCATGGGATCCCCTGCCATATCGTGATGATTACCTTGTACCTCGTATTCAATCACTGAGATTCTTTTCTATATGTTCAAAATGTGATGCAATTTAGAAATGATGGCCGTTGACAAACTTTCTTAAACACAGTTAAATATATATTGACAAAGCTATCTACTATTGATTAACGTTCAAAAAAATCAGCACCATTCTCGACATCATCTGTTCTGATGGTTCCCTTTTGAGCCATTAGAATTCTGTACACTCGCTTTGAGCAAACCTCGCCTAACCTTCTGTCACCACCAATCAAACCTTCTGTCATCAAGTCTTTGAGTAAAAATTCCTTCTCATGCTCCTGTGGCCAAAAAAATAGTCTTATTTATCTTGATGCATCTTCTATCATTAAGAAAGACAATATATTTCTGGTTATGTCTTATTTCATCAGCAACAATTTGTAACTGAAGCAACTAAATTTTGACTGTGAACTGTGTCCATACCAGGAAGGTTAAAGCAAACAAATGCAAAATTACAGCACATACCGATTTAGTTGGGTCCATATAAACACGTAACAGAGATTTCATGGTTGGGTATTTTTTCCAAATAGCAATTGCAAATCGCGGTTGTACCTTGGGGATAGCAACCAAAGCTTTTAACCTAGTCATGCAAGCAAAAGTAACAATAAGTTATATTGTTATATTGTCAGATTATACAGGTGATAAAAGATGTGTTCCTAATCATATTTGCGACTTGTGAACTACAAACTAGTGAAAAAAGTCCTACAAATTATTAGCATCTTGGAAGATTTAGAAATTTTGCACAAACTACACTGTTCAATTATTAGCATCTTGGAAGTTATAGCAAATTAGTACCATTTTCAATCTGCATAAACATTAAAAAGGAATAAAAAGTAACTGTGATATTTAATGCCGGCACTTAATTCGTCTAATTACGTAAAGAAAAAGGTACTAATTCTTTTTCTAAAGGCAAGACCTTAAAATTTGAAGTAATTAAGAGGATGTTGGGATTTCTTTTATGCAATATTTAATTGTTGAAAACTTGAAGTTATAAGGTTTAATTCTTCAAAAAGAGAGAGAGGAAGAGGAATACTCCATGTAATAACTTTTTTTTTGTTATAATCAATCGCAGATTCCTAGCAATAATATGTTGGATGTTATTATTGAAGAAAAAACATTAATTCTTAGTTATGCTAATATGCTAAGCAAAATAGTAAAACAAATAAGGACGTAATGAAAACTAAATTTAAAGATAACTATGAATAAAAACATGAAAGTCACTCACCAAGTGGATTTCTTTATTAAGTTCCGGTCAACACTGTCCTTTGAAACAAGAGATCCATTTGCATTTACAGATAACCTAGTTAATTTCTTTCTGCAGTAATAAATGAACCAATTTGATGTAATATTAATATTAATTAAAATAAGATAAGATAAATCAAACAGTTGGATAGAGATCATTTTTATGGTTTACAGTGCTAAAAAATAGGTATTTTTTAGTGTCTTCCAAAGTGACATCAATTTTAGTACATGTAATAAGTTATAGTAAACTGAAAAAATATGGGCTTCGATATAAATATACAGAAACAAACAAAATGCATGAAAGTTGATGGAAAAAAGAGAAAATTTAAAAAGAAATGGTGGATTTATTTATGTTAACATAATATACATAGCAAAGACTCGGTAGACACGTCAAATTACATTTCTCTTCAACCCTCCCTTTAACGGATTATTTTCTTTTGGGATACAACAGGGAAGAAGCCCATCCCTTTAATAGATTTAGAATAACTGATTTTACATGTATAGCATATCACGATTTTCTTCATCAAAGTTTGAAAGGGCTCTAATTCAATTCTAAAAATTGAGGCATCAAGTACCTAAATTGACAAGACGCCAGACTGCATGTCAAACCCACAACATGTTCAGCTAGTTCAGCTTCATCTACACACAGTCTGTAATGTATTTTGGCGAAATTAGTTGTTAATTTTGCTAGTACCTACAAGACAATTCAAAACAAATAAATTAACATGCTTATATAAGAAGGTAAAGACTTAAAACTTGACCTATTCATTGTAATTTGAATATAGAAGGCCAGTTACTCAACCTCCTCAACGGGCGGACGTCTCCAACAAGTATTGTTTTCTGGGTTCTTGTATTTTTCCTGCTCCCTAACAGATCATAAAAATCAGTTTCAACATGAGAATATTTTGAAAAAAATTATAGATGATAAATTAATTGGCTAAAATATCAGAAATCATTGGCAGGAATTTTAAAAATTTATATGTATAAAGTTGTTTGCAGTATGCATCATCCTTTTGGGTGTTTTTCATCATTTACGGCAACCGGATGCAGAATGTATTCTCTGCCTTGTATGAAACATACATACAGTTGAGAGTCGGGACTCGGGACAAAGTAGTCTTACTTTTGACTAAAAAGCACTGCCTTATAGCATTAATGCACAAGGTTTTCCAAATTTTCTCAGTTATACAAATTCAATAATATTCAACAGTTGAACAAATGAGAGATGAGTCGGATGTGTTTATTATAGTTTGAGATTGAAAGGTTATAAGTATAAGAGTATGGCAAATCTAACTAGTTTACTCAAATACATGTGTAATGTAGAAAAATTAAGTACTTCAAACTTTTTTCCTCTTCCTATTTATTTCGGGAAGTTGATTGAAACTGGATATTAAGTTATTGGACATGGAGGTTTATAAAATAAGTTATTATATGAGATTGAATGGCAAATACACACAAAGATATGCATGCAGGCACATTAGGGACATAGAATAATGCACCAAAGCATAAATATCTGCAATTGCCTACTAGAATTGAAGTACTAATGAACAAATATCACTCACCTTTTATTAATGTAAGAAAGTAACCTGTTTGTGAGGTAACAAACAGTATAAGCTGGATAATGATTTCGAATGCTATTGAGTTGATCAAAAAGAGAATCATTAACGGTGAGGTTACAAAATTTGTCGGCCTCAAAAACTAGTAAGACATATGGAATCTCAATTCGCTCAGTGGAAAGCTGTAAATAATAAATGAAATTGGTATTAGTGAAGAACAGAATACTCACAGAAATATTCATCCACAGAAGATAAACAAAGAATGTTTTGATAAGATTTATAAATAAGTTCAGTTCAATTACTTTGTAAGTCCCTATAGTTCTACTACTTCATAATGAAGTTCTATACTATCATCATTTTAACTAACATGAACTCACGCTTACATGGCATTTGTGATGTGGCGTCCTCTTTTCCATGCTAATCTTCCTTTTATTTTTGACGACATAGTAAATCAATTGTTTAATTATAGAAAGAGAAAACTGCTCAATGCTCTTATGAATACGCGTTTGTTAGATTTCAAGTATACAGTGTCACCAGCGATTCCAAAGAAAGAACACTTTTATTAAAAAAAATAGAAAATAACATGAGAGCAAGCTCTCCCTCAAGGATTTCCCCTTCACAATAGAGCTGGTACTCTATTCACAAATGATTTACAATATTCAATGATATCAAGTTATCAACTCTACACTGTATTCTCCTATTTATACATATAGCCCTATAACAACCTCAACTAACTAACTAACTTCTATAACAACCCTTAACTACTTTAACTACTCTAACTAACCACTATTCTATATCCTAACAAAACACCCCTCCTCAAAACAACCTTGTGCTCAAGGTTCACAACTTTTACTATATTTTTCTTGCAGGTGTAATACTTTGATAATATGCATTGGTTTCCCTTTTGTCTTCAACATACTGGCAGCATTGTGCAGTATATCCCTATTTAGGATGATGTCACCCAGATCCTACTGATGGAAGTACAAAGATCCATTCACCCCTTTCTTCTCTGCTGCCATCCTCATGGTTAACTTGTCAATTATTCTGCAGACTATTATATGCCCCACTTCAGATAGAAATAAAGCCACCTTAATTATAATGAAATTGCACATTTTCCCCTATAATATGTGTCAGCTTCATAACACTGCCTTCACCAACAGGTTCCTTAAAAGAAGCATCAAGCCAAAGAGACTTAAATATGCATTTACCAGGTGATTACGTCAGCGTCGACCTGATAGGTATTGCTTTTGGATTTACATCTTGTGGTTTAGGCTCAAGAAAATCCCTTGTTGGTGGGCCGGAGTCCGGAGGCTCTGGCGAAGGCGGTGGTTTGAACCCAATGTTCTCCAACTTCTGCAAATTTTGATCTTGATGTTTTGGCAACGAAAAATTGGTTCTTTGAAGGAGTTAACGATGGTAGTGGAATCAGATTGCTTAGAGTACTATGAAGGAGTTGCGAGTTTTCCCCTTCTGACTCTACCACCAGCGAAGACTTTGAAAATGACCCATCATCACCAACCTTCTCGCCACTCTTCTTCATATCACCAAGAATCTGATCCTATCATTTCTTACTTCTTCTCTAGTATCTCCATCAATTGCTTCACTTCTTCTATGGGACTTTTTCTCTCCCTTACATTTCTTACTTCAAGATTGAAATTCCTTCAACAACACGGTTATCATAGCTTGTTCTGAATCTCAGGATCAGACTTAAAAGAGAGTAACACACAGTTTAAATACGGGTCCTCTTGACACCAAGAACTGAACCAACGCGTGACTTCTCCCTCCATGCTCCTGAAAGCCCATTGCTCGTGAGTTTCTTGCACCTCAAAAATCTTTTCAGCCCTGGCAAGCCACCCCACGGGGTCTTTCCCTATAAAAGTTGGTAAATTCACCTTTTGGGATGCCCCCCATCTCCAACAACACTAGCACTCCTCGAAGACCCGGCAGGTCGGACCAATTGTTAGGAACCCAAGAATCGAATTCCAAAGAAAGAACAATTTTTATTAAAAAAATAGGAATTAACATGAGAGCAAGGTCTCCTCAAGGGTTTCCCCTTCACAATAGAGTTGGTACTCTATTCACAAATGATTTAAAATTTTCAATGATATCAACTCTACATTCTTCTATTTATACAAATAGCCCTATAACAACCTCAACTAACTAACTTCTATAACAACCCTTAACTACTTTAACTACTCGAATTAACTTCTGTAATAACCCTTAACTACTTTAACTACTCTAACTAACCACTATTCTACATCCTACTCTCAAAAAAGGTGTAAGCCCTGTAGTTTGTATATGACAGTGAGAATTGATTTGCATGATATTTGTATATAAGTACTGATACAAAAAAGTAAAACAACCTATATATGTCCAATATACGGGTAAAGCTGATGATATCTTCCAAGGAGTCTAAATCAAGTACAAGACACCGATGTCCATTACGCAAATTCGATTGTTCTCACAAATATTACGAATGTTGTATAGGACTGCTAAACCAGATACAAGAAACTTATGCTTATTTCAAAGTCTGAAACCCAATGATAAGTTGAATGACAGTATTGCTGAGCTGCTCATTTTTGGATGGTCTACCCTAGAAAGAAGAACACACTTAGTGGAATAAGGCTAGATTGTTGTTGTACCCTAGAAAAATATAAAGGGTCACGAGCAGGAGTTGAATAAGGATACATACTGAAATATAAGAGTGAAAAAGATAAGAGCACATAAAGTTTGTAACAGGAGGGAAGAGAGAAAGAGAGAGAGGAGAGCAACAGAATTTGGGAGTGATTTTCAGCAATTGTTTAGCTCCCATTTCCTGGAATTTGCAGAAATTTCATAACATTTTTCTTTGTTTGCTTACTTGCATTTCCTTCTAGTTTCAAATCGATATTCACTATTCTGTTTAAACTCCCTCATTTACTTAAGTTAACAAAACCAGCTGTTTGTGAGGGGCCCGCTAGCTCTATAAACTTATCAGCATAAATTACAATCTATATGTGCAGAAAGGAATTAAAATGTAAACCAATGCAGTTAGCCCAATTAAAAATAGTAAAAACTAAAATCATTTATTTATAACTTTCGACAAAAATAAACGAGCAAACAACCAACATGTATATGGAATAAACCAAAAAAGATAAAAGAAAAGAATATATATATATATATATATATATATATATATATATATATATATATATATATATATATATATATAACTAACACAGTGAGAAATTATTAATGAATTTGGTGCTCGAAGATGAACTACCAGCATTTCTTACCTGTGAAATACTTTCTGGAACTTTCATAGACCATAAAATGGACCCGGAGATTGGATTTGACGTAATATGATATGTAAGCCCTTTTTCAGCAAACCTAGTAAGCAAATGGCCTGAAAAAAGGTAATAGAAGTTTCGTGAGAAGACAGCCATGTTAAAAATTATGTACAAATTTATCTCATACTCATGAATTCAGATAAGCAATAGAAAATAAGTTTCATGAGAAAACAAACACGATTAAGGAGCTATAAAGAAATTATCACGTGGTTGAGGATTCAGATACCAATAACCTACCTCCGATTGAACCTGATTCAACTACCTTTGCATCTATTTCTGCCACAATATATTTCATTGCGAACTTCCCTTTTTCCCACTTTTGCTTTTCTTTCTCAATTTTTTTCAGTTCTGCAGCTTCAGCCTTCATAGCTGCTTTTCTTAACTTCTCTTGCTGAAGAACAGATTTGTAGAAGACTATAAGCTATTTTGATCAAAACATTGAATGATATAAAGTATAAACACCAAAGAATATACACTGAAACGCACTTCCTTCAGTAGTTTCTTTTCTTCCATCAAACGACTTCTTTCTTCTTTTGTCATCTTTGTTTTTCCAGTTGCCCTGTTTCTGCTCTTTGCAGAGACTTTGGAACTTTTCATATTGTCAACGTTCTCTTCCTGATCCATGCTCATATTTATCTCATTAGTATTCTCTTCCTGCTCCATGCTCATATTTATCTCATTAGGATTCTCTTCCTGCTCCATGCTCATATTGTTCTCATTAGGATTCTCTTCCTGCTCTAGGCTCATATTGTTCTCATTAGGATTCTCTTCCTGCTCCAGGCTCATATTGTTCTCATTAGGATTCTCTTCCTGCTCCAGGCTCATATTGTTCTCATTAGGATTCTCTTCCTGCTCCAGGCTCATATTGTTCTCATTAGGATAACCATACAACTCATAGAATAATGAGGGGTTTCTCAAATGCACGGCGCAAAATGTAAAAAGCATGCAGGAGGGGAGAAAATAAAATAATATATGTGTATGAAAAAGAGAGAAGAAAACATTAGAGTCATGTTCATAGTTCATTATATTTACAGTTACTTACACTAGTCAAACAACATGATAATGTCCTATCATAGATCATTTAAATCTTGATAATTTAAGGGTTTGTTCTCCTTCTACCTTTAACTATTAGACTTTTTCTACCTAATATTTTCTCCCAATCGGAGCTTTAAAAGGTCTTCTCAACTAATACCAGAGCAACTGACTGAGGTGGAACTCTATCATCTTTTCTACAATAGGTGCTACCTTAAGGGTCAGTTTGGGAGTTTGGAGGGGAAGGGAGGAGAGGACTTTCAAAAAGGATAAGGATTGAGTGGAAATAATTGAAGGGTTTTGATTGGAAGGGTTTTGGAGGGTTTAGTTTTCTTCATAACACCAAAAACCCCCTAATCTGGGGAATTCAAAATTTGTATTGAATGAGGGTTTTGGAGGGCTTACATAAAATTTTTAGTATCTTGAAAATTAAAAATATAGTAATGATAACCACTCTTTTATCATTCTACACAAAATCATTCTTTCAAAAATTTTCACATATTTTCCTATATTTTTTTTCAAAATTCGTTTTCAAAAGTCTTCCCTTCCCCTCCTCTCCAAACTCCTTAACACAGCCTAAGTTTCTCTCTGATACTTTTTATTACTAATTTTATTTTATCTTGTATATATGCGTGCATAAAAACAACACAATAATCATCAGAGGACTAACCACTTGTGAGGAGGTTGGATTTGACGGATTGTCCCCGGAATTTTCAGCTCGAGTAACATTTTCACATGAAACATATCTGTCTGTAATTATCAATAACATAAGCAAATACACAAAGCATTTCATGCAGTTAAAAACAAGTGTAACTAGTTAAAACTGAACAATCATTTACCAGGAGAACTTCCATAACCAGTTGAATGGTAAGTCCATGTTGAATTTCCAGCAATTTCTTCCTGAGAAGAAAATCCCCTTGCTCCATTCTCATTCCAATTTCCAATTCGAGAATTTTCCAGCTCATCATCTGATTCCAAACATATCATTTGACTAATTCCTGAACAACATTCAGCGAAAAACGTTTACATCTTAAGAATGAATAATACTCCAACTTCAAATGCATTGATTGATAAAATAACTGAGTGGTATTAGGGTTCCGAACTGAATAAAACAAAGAATAGGAAAATGAATATTGACCTGGTAAATTCGTAGGAGCAGAATCAGAAGGTCTAGTGCATTTGACGATTGCAATTTCGGAATCGAATAAAGGGGAGAATGGAGTATCGGGAACGATAGAAGGTATAGAGGAAGGAACGTGCTGCTTCTGTGGAGTGGGGTCGTCGTCGATGATGAAAACGGTAGGGTTTGGATCGGGTTGTTCGGTTCGGCGCTTCTTAGAATGGAGAGGGAGCGGTGTCGTGGGGTCATCTTCGTCGGAGAGGATGATCGGGTCCATGAGAGAGACTGTGGCAGTTTAATTTCCGTCTTCGAATAAGCGCGGGATCATCGTTTCATTCTATGGTAACTTCATTTGTTATTACCCGTTTTTGGAAGAAAACTTATATTTCAACCCCATATTTTCAGATTACACGCCCTTTTAGATATACTTTTTTTTTTTTTTTAATTTCAAATTGGCCAAATTATATTGAGTTTCAGAAACATGCTCTAATTCATTAAAATTACTTGCATAACATGAGCCTTATCGTAAGTAATTCGGTTTCAGATCCATCTAATAGATTTTCGCACCAAGTTTATATTGTTTTATCTTTAAGAAAATAAATTTTTTCTTTGTGTTTCTAAAAATGAATTTTGTAAAATTATTTTTTTAAATATTATAAATTTTTTTATATTAATTTTTTTAAAAATTATAAGACTAATTTTGACATCATACCGCATAAACATACATTATTAAAGATCAAAATATAGTTGAAATTTTAAATTTTGAAAAAATTTGTATCTAAAAATTATTTTTATGAAAAACTATTTGAAATAGTTTTAAAATTAAGTGATTTTTTGAAATTTTTATATTCAAAATTTTCCACAAAATTTTGTTAAACTAGAAAAATCATTTTTAAAGAGGAAGCACATCATTTTCCATGTACAATTCAAATTTAAATTTTATTCACTCATATTGACTTGAGCGTAAATCTTGCAGGCAAGACCCTTTTTTACCGAACCAGAAGCTCAAGTTCATAGTTGCAATTTGGATCCTTCAATCTCCAATCAATTATAGTTCTATAGTGTTGGCTCTAAATTTCGACGCCTGAATTGGATTAAAAGGAAGTAATAGAGTTTCTGAAGAAATCGGATGTCTTCGACCAAAACTACATTTTAAGAGTGTGAGTCGAAGGCGAATTTGCAAGAAGGAACTATTCTATGGACTTAGAAATATTTTCTAACAATTGGGAAATGTGATTCGACAGAGGTGCTACTTAAGACATTTCGACAGGAAGATTTGAATTCAAATAAAGGAGAGAATGTTCGTTCTTATCCATTTCTCAAAGAAGACACGTGGAGCGCTTCCAAGAGTCGAAGACATGCAGAACACCACTTGTCTCGATCTAGTTCGTTAGCCGTTGATGGCAGTTATTTTTTATTAGTATAAATAGCATGGCTTAGTGTTAGGATTAGTGTGTGTGTTCAATTGTGTACAAGTTCCACAATATACTCAAAGTATCCGCGTGCAGAGAAACGAGTTCGTGAGAATGTACATTGATGTAACACCATTTTTACATTTCAATGTAATTCAATAAGTCTTTTCATTAAGAATTTATCTTTTTCTTGCGCAAGTTACTTTCTACCTTTTTTACCAGTCTTTCGACTTTAATCTCTTGTATTCAATTCCATTTATATTTTTAAAACAAGTTATTTTATCATGAACTTTGTCGAAGTATTCATTATTTTTTTTCAAACTTTGTTTAAGATCAACTAGCACATGTCCTAGGATTTGTGTGGTCGATCTTGCAAGTAAAACGAATCTTTTTCGATTTGGAAGACCAGTGGTTGTTCACAAATTTTCACGGCGAACAAATTGGCACGCCTAGTGGACAGTGTTAAGTGATCATAAAATGTTCTTCGAAATTCTTGAAAATTCATTAGTTTTGCGGTTAACTTTCTCTTTGAAAACTTCGTTGTATGTTATTAAGAAGTGGTAAAGTAGTCATCATTAACGAATATAGAACAATGAGAAGATATAGGAGGAGAATGGCGACAAACTCTAACCAACCAAATATTCCTCAAGATACGCCTAGTAACAATGTAGAACCACCCATAGGATCTTCGACAGGAGGACCAACAGTCTCAGCTTTTGTCTCTGAAGCAATACCATTTATGGGAAGTTCAATACCTACACATTTGATTGCCCGTATACAACTCATTATGACTTATATTGGGCCAAGGGGTCCTTCATAGACTCCACCACAAATAGGGGCTTCAGCATTCAGAAGTGTCCCTTCTCCTGGATTTGCAATACCCCTGCCTCGAGACCCACCCTATGGAATACCAACTTCGATGATGGCAAGCTTACAAAACGCCCATTCATTATATACAGAACCCGTAATGACTTCGTCGTTACAGGGATCGAACTTTGGGGTAAATATGGGTCAAAATAGTCAAACTTTAGGATTAAGGTATTCCGTCCAAATACCAAATTTGACAACCAGTTTTGCATCATACTTAAGACAACAGATGGACGAGAGTAACCTTCAAATGGTCCAAATGATGTCCCAAACTATGGGGGAAATCTTCCAGCCTCTTATTCAGAATACTACCCAAAATAATCAACAATTAGCAGCGCAAATGACGTGCCTTGTAGAATTCTTTGATGTACCAAATCCCCATCGACAACCACCAAGGGAGTATATGATAGAGAACCAAGGGGTAGTTTTCGACAAAGATACCACAATCAACCAAATTCAACAAAATCCGAAAAATATACCCCAGGCAAATCAAGACAACCAGGGAATGATCGAACGACCTAGAGTCGAACCCCTAGGAATCAACTACAAATTCCTAGAGAAGAAAAACCAATGGTAGTTTTGGTAAATAGGAACCAGAGTGCTGAAAACTTAGTGCAGCAAGTTCAACGTAACAACGTAGTAGCAGATAATAATTTGGCTTCCATGGTCGAAAGAATCATGGCACGTAATAGAGTAAGTTTTGGCCTTCCACGGTCAAATTATACATCATTGTTATCTGAATACATCATTCAGTCAGATTTACCCCCAAGAACAAAGGTTCCTAAGTTTACTAAGTTTTTCGGGGATAATACTAAGTCCACTATCGAACATGTGCCTAGGTATTTGATAGAAGCCGGAGAAATTTCGAATGATGAGAACCTTAGAGTAAAATATTTCCCAAGTTCTCTTACAAAGAACGCTTTCACTTGGTTCATAATCCTACCTCCAAATTTGATTCATAATTGGACCCAGTTAGAATGTTTATTCCATGAGCAGTTCTACATGGGACAAACAAAGATCAGTTTGAAGGAATTGGCTGGTATAAAATGAAAGTTTACTGAGCCAATAGACATTATTTGAATAGGTTTTGACTTCTCAAGGCAAGGTGTTTCACACAAGTTCTAGAACATGAGTTAGTCGAAATGGCTGTTGGGGGCCTGGATAATTCCATTAGGAAGAAACTAGATACTCAATATCTGAGGGATATGGCCCATTTGGCCGATATGGTTCGACAGTTAGAACGCTTGAAAGAAGAAAAGGCTATGGAAAATAAGAATAAGAGAATAACCTATGTCAAATTCAATGAAGAGGACGAAAGGTCTTACAATGAGCCTGTGAGTTTCGATGAGAATGAAGTAGATCTCGCTGAATTGAAACAAGGCTCACCCTATTCTTGCAAGGTTTTAGCACCTTCGAATAGAAAGAACCCTGTCGAACCAGAAAAGAATGATAGGTTTCCAAAGAAAACTTACACATAAAATGTGATGAAATTTTTTATTTGTTAGTTAAGGGTGGGCAAATGATAGTACCACTTGGTGCTAAAATGCCTTCTTTAGAGCAAAGAAATAAAATAGGATTTTGTAAATACCATAATTTCTTGGGTCATAAAACCTCTCAATATTTTCTTTTCAGGGATCTTGTTTAGAATGTTATTCTATAGGGAAGGCTCAAGTTCGGGGAGAAGTCCAAGAACCAGATGAAAGTTGACACTGACCCTCTACATGTTATCGACGCTCATTATACGAAGCCAAATGAAGTCAACATGATCGAAGTCGCTGAAGATTTCGATAATGCAGTCAACATGATCAAAGTCACTGAAGACTTCATCGATGAGGTTGTTTTAGTCCAAGTTACTGAAGATCTCGACCAAGAGTTCGTGAAAGATTTTGTTCGCGAAGCTACTGAAGGCTTCATCAAAGAAACTACCGATAGTTTTGACTATGGAGTTACTGATGCCTTTGTTGAAGGAGTTCCTGAGGACTCCAACCTAATGATGATGACAAAGGAAATTGCTGACGGTTTCGTTCGAATGGACAAGGCTGTTGGTGGCTTTCAAATGAAATTCTATAAAATGGATATTATTGATGATGTCAATATAGATATCAACATGGTGGAGATCTCACAAGAAACCCCCCACAGAAGTTGACGAGGAGTGTCGACATGAAGAGTATAACAAAGTTGCTTACCCAAAGCAGGATGAGACCCTCATAGGTTTTCTCCACATATGCCATAGAAAAAAGTCTAAAATTATGTTGTGTCCAAGGTGCAATGTTGTGTTTGACAGAAAGGCAACATGCAACATAGAGGGTGTGAGGAAGGCCAGAGAAAGGTGTGAGCACAAAGCCTCCTACGGGCAGCATGGTTTTGGCCCAAGAGGATCTTCTTTAAGGCAGGATGAAACCAAGCAAAGGGTGCCAGGAGTTAAGTCTTCTACCTTCAAACCAACGGCTGAGGCTTCAAAGGGAAGTTGGATGAAACCAATCAAAGGCAAGCATCATAGACAACAAAAATGGAAAAAGTTCGATGTGGACAAGGGCTCATCAATGGCTTATCGCATGGAGTTTCAAGCTTCGAAGAAAATAACCTACGTCTTAGAGAATTATAAAGGGAGAAATCCAATGTCTATATCTCAGTGGATAAGGGAGCAGCGTAGAAGGAAGGCCCGAAGAGAGGTTGGGGCAAAGGCTGAATCTAGTACTAACCTGCCTACCATAAAGGAGAAAAATGAGGAACTAAAGTCTGTCGAGAAGCTACCCATGGGGAAGAAGATGTCTGCCACCCAGGAAGATGAGGCAAAGGAGAAATACGATCGGGCAATTGATGAAGATGAAATGCTAATTGATAATTTTGACTCTAGGTCAGAGGCCTCATTGGATATCATAGTGAATGTAGTATCAATTTTGCCTAGAGAGTTCGACTAGATAACAAAGGTCGAAGAGTTAGACAGTTATATAGAAGTTGAGATGGCAGCACACAAGACAGTGTGCTACTATGTAATGAATAACGACTGTACAGAAGAACAAAATGCTTTCTTCGAGCGGTCAGATGAGGCGATGAAAAATTATTTGAAGCCTCTATTTATTACCAGAAAGGTAGAAAACATTGCGGTTAATAAAATCTTGGTAAACGGTATTGCTACGGTGAACATGATGTTGCACTTTATGTTGAGGAGAATCGGCAAATTAGACACATATATCAAACCATACACTATGGTGGCACTACCCTTGGTGTCATACAAGTCGACCTTACAGTAGGGACAGTTACAAGACCTACCATCTTTATAGTGGTCGAAACAAAGGCCAATTATAACTTGTTGTTGGGATGAGAATAGATCCATGGAATTAGATTCGTACCATCTTTCATGCACCATAGGATTACAATATGGCGACCAGACGGCATTGTCGAAAACATTGAGGTTGATCAAGGTTATTTTAAGGCCCCAATTAATCATGTCGACCGGCGCAATTTTGATAAACACTTGGCGAATATTGCTCCATGCAATCCGGTTGAATTTGCTTTCACCCTAGATGACGATGTCTACTGTTCTTTATATTTATATCCCGTCCATGGTTTTTGATGGGATAAAAATATGGTAGGAAAAGATAACCTTCTGTACCTTGGTACATTTGGGATAACCCCAACAGGTTGGGGAAGCGAATTCAGTGATGATGACTGAGTTCGAAGTGCTCAAAAATATTTCGGCTTACATAGCCGAAAATAAATTACAAGCAGCCTTAAAGGCTGAAGTTTTGTCATGTTTTGAAGCTGTTATTGCATCTTTATAGAGGCATGGAAATATTTGTTGTTACTGTCACTAAGTTGCAGCCAATCAATTTTTGCTCGTTACCTCACCATACTATCATCCAATTCCTACAAAGTAATAAGATTTTCAGAACATCTTTTCACCATATTAATCTTTTCTCCATTCAATCTATTTGTCATTAAATTATCCTGCGCCTTGTGCAGATCATCACGAGCTCGTGCAATTTCCCTGTGAATCTCAGCCAGTGGTTTGCTCAATTTCCGGATGTGGGGTTGTAGTCTTTGCAATTTCTTCCATACATCAAACATTGGTCTTCCTTCTAACAGAATGTCCCAACTGTTCTTGATAACTTCTTGGAAATTATCCAAGTCTGCGCAGCAGTTTATGAATCTAAATCCTTTGCTAGGCTGCTGGACTTCAATATTGTCGTGTAACACAAGCATGGCATGATCAGATATGTTGGGGTTCATATTCATTAATTTTGTATTTCCATTTTGCTGCAGCCACTCAACATTGCACAGGACATGGTCAATTCTAGAGTAAATAGAATTATCTCCCTGTTTATTCGACCATGTGAAGTAGTCTCCCCCACTATCTTTTTCATATAGTCCTGTTTTACTCATCATCTCAATCAAGTCTATGTATTCGTGCTCTGTAACGTCATTACCGCCAATTTTGTCTTCAGTTTTCATCACATTGTTATAGTCACCTACTAGGATCCAAGGTCCATTTTGCTGTGCATTTATCTTTTCTATGTCGCGCCACAATTCCTTTCTGCGCTGCAGCTGGTTTTGTGCATAAATGGTTGTCATCCAATGGATCCATATTCTTCCATTTTCATGGTTTGAATAGTTATCTTTTAATCTCAGTTTCTGTCGAATACAACTAGCATTCTTCACCTTTACTCTTGTCTCGATTAACACAGAGATTGCAGGGGTTAGTTTTTGGAGACGAGAGCTGATATCCCTAACTTTGCCCACTTTATTCAGCCCTCTAATGTTCCAAGAGATGATCATGGGACATCTTATAGGAACACCGAGGCTGAACCATCCCCGAGTGCTGCATAAAAGTTCCCGTAGTTCTTCGTTGGATTCTTGTTTTTGGACTTGTACCAGTATCAATACCGTTGGCCTTATCTTTGTCTTTTCTCCTCACCTCTGTCCATGCCATATCTTCATTTGTACCTGTTTGTTTGCTGTTCGTCATTTGCACGATTGCTCCGGGTTTAAGATGTTCCTGTACTGCTATTTTCTGTGTTAGTGTCTTCAAGGTCTCCTCTTCCTTTGCAGCCACCCTCTCGTCTTGATGCTTCTTCTCTTTGGGGATCCACTTCTTTATTGGTTTTTTTGGTTGCTTCTTCTCACATTTGTGCCCAATCCGCTGACATTTTGTGCAGTATGGAGGCCACCATTCATATTCTACCCGTTGTTGCATCTTCTCCCCTTTCTCGTCCATTATAGTGATTTCAGCAATGAGTTCTTGTGTGACAGCAATTTCTACTAGAAATCTAGCATATGAGATATGATACCTGTTAGGTGCATTCATCAGTCATCAAAGGGGTGCCCAAGACACTCGCTATCTTCCCCAAATTTTTTGCTCCCCATAGGTGCAGTGGCAATTGAGGTAGTTGAATCCAAACAGGGATTGTACGCAACATATCATTCTTCAAGTTGAAGTTTGGTTTCCATTCAGCTAACAACATTGGCATATTGCGTATGGTGTAAGGCCCTTTCACGAGTACATCATCCATCTCCTTGTGTGAATGAAATCTCAGTGCAAAATATCCTTCATTGTTGTAATACATGTCAGGCAATTTGACGAAATTCCATTGTTTTAGCATAAATTGTTTGACCATGTTCATGCTTAGACCGCCTCCCATTACATACATAATCAATGTTGTATCCCAGAATTTCACCTCTTTTACAGTATCTGCTTTTTCAATAAGTACCTCTGCAACACCATTGACAATCGTTGGTGCGATGAATTCCAGTGTTAACCCGTTCCCAGGATTTCGATTTCCACTTATAACGTCGACCCATAGTCTTCTAGGTTCTGTTGCCCCTTTTGGTGAAATTAGGGTTCTAGATTCGGTGCTTTCCTGTACTTCTTCAATCTTCTTTGTTGACTCCTCTATTTCATGATGATTGGGTGTTTTGCTTGCATTCGCGTTGGTTCCAGATGGTATATCATCATCATTGTTGCTGATGGATGATGACAACGTCGACACCACCTTCAGTGGTCGTCCTCGCCTCCCCATCTTTTTCTGAACAAAACGAAGTACTTGTTGTATACTATATAATATGAATCAGAGCAGTGAAGGGTCTCTTCTCAATGACCAACCGCGATTTTCTCTCTTTTTACTCATTAGAATTGTTTCTTACTCATTATTTATGTTTAGTAATTTTGAATAGATTTTTAACGCCGTATATCTTAAGGATATTGAAATTGTTTTTATTTTTTTAAATTTATTTTTATATATTTTTTGTTTTGTAAGTAAGGAGTTATATTAAGAGAGAATCAGGGATACTTTAACCTTTCTTACAAGAGAGAATAAAGAATTCATATCAATTAAACTTAAATTAGACAAGACAAAGGAGTTTGACAATATTCAAAAAAGTTACAGTTGGAATGAGAATTATCTTCAATACAAAAACATTTTTATGTTGGAATAAGCAACCACAAGATTGGTGAAAACTAAGTTGAGAGAAATTTTGGAGAGAGAGGGGGGGGGGGGGTGAGAATGCAGAATTTTTCATTAGCTTGGGTGAGAGTGCACCCATCACACTTATAAAGAAGTTACAACACAAGCTGAATACAAAATGATCAAATACAATAGCAGAAAACTCAAAAACTCATGCCTGTAACCGGTTACGTCAAAATGGGTAACTGGTTACATTTGTAACTAACTAATTCCATAATTAATTCACTTACAGTGATAATCGATTACACCAAAACTGGTAACTGGTTACACCTTAAAAAAAATGCATTTTTCTGCTACTGAACAACATGACAACACTTGTAATTAAACATCAAACCTCAACACACCACCTTGATTCAGGTGTTACAGCTCTACCATCCCTATGCTCATCTTCAACCTCTTGAAAATATCATTTGTGACCCCTTTCATCAACAAATCTGCAACTTGATCTCCGCTTCTGTAATATCCCATATGTAACCTTCCTTCAGGAACTAATTCCCTCAAATAATGGAACCTTGTCTCTATGTGCTTGCTCCTCCCGTATGTAATTAGGTTTTTAACAAGATTAATAACGGAAACATTGTCAACTAAGAGTGTGACAACCTCACCCTCACTCCTGCCCAGCTCCTCCAATAATTCATAAGTCATATAGCTTGGCATGCACATAACAAAACGGTGATGTACTCGGCCTCACAAGATGAGAGTGCAACCACCGGTTTCTTTTTCGAACATCATGAGATTGATGTCGCACCGAACATAAATATGCATCTAGATGTAGACTTTCGATCATCTTTATCTCCACACTAATTGAAATCGGTGAAACCGAGCAAGTCACATTTTCTGCCTGTATCTGCTGAGGGAAAGAGAATTCTGTAGCCAACAGAACCTTTGATATAATGCAAGATCTTCTTGACTGCTTCCAAGTGAAACACCTTCGGTTTCGCCATGAATCTACTCAGAATACCGACACTAAATTTTAGGTTCGGCCGCATATTGCATAAGTACCACAATGATCCAATCAACCTCCTATATTGAGTTGGATCAACATCTTCCTCATCTTCATTCTTGAACAGCTGCAACCTTGGTTCTGCAGGAGAAATAACAGCATTGTAATACTTCATTTCACACTTTTTTAATATCCCAAGAGCATATCTCCTTTGATGCATAAGCAGTTCCAATTTTGACTTGCAGATGTCTATGCCTAGGAAGTATGCCATGATACCAAGGTCCTTCATCTTGAATTCTTCCATAAGTTCTCTCTTGAACTTTGAAATACTCTCCTCATTACTATCCACAATCAATAAATCATCCACATATAGAAAAAGGATGAATACTCCTTCACTCGCATCCGTCTTCACATAGACTCCATGCTCTGATACACATTTATTAAAACCAATGTCTTTTAGAAAACCATCAATTCTTCTATTTCAAGCTCTTGGAGCTTGTTCCAAACCATATGTTGCTTTCTTCAACTTTTAGAACTCTAGCTCTTGATATTTTACCATAAAACCAAAGGGTTGTTCTACATACACATCCTCTTCAAGTTGTCCATTCAAAAACACGGACTTGACATCCATTTGATAAATAGGTCAATTGTGGTTATTTGCAATACCAACAACAAGCCCAATGATTTCAATGCAAGTAACCGGTGTAAAAACCTCTTAAAAGTCTATGCATTCTCTTTGGAAAAATCCCTTAGCCTCCAATCTATACTTATGCTTGATTATCTCACCCTTGGGATTTTCCTTCACTTTGAACACCTATTTCACACCAATTGGCTTCTTCCCTTTTGGTAGATCAACTAGCTCCCAAATATTGTTTTTTCTCAATTGATTCCACCTCTTCTTTCATAACACAAATCCACTTTGAATCACTCAAAGCCTCTTCCGTATTGACAGGTTCAAATTTAGCCATAAGTGTGAAGTGGACAAGATTACCATCATCATTGACCTCATTGTCATGAAACACCTCACAATCTTGGAGTCTCTAAGGCAAACTCCTCTGCCTTGTTGACCTCCTCACATTTCTTTCATTCCGGGATTCGACGACTTACTGTTCTGGCCTTCTTACAACCTCAGAATCCCAAAATTCAAGCAATTCGACAAGTCAGAGGGGTGAGAGTAGCTACAACAAACACGGTGTTCAAGGCAACTACAGAGGTGTAAGAAAGAGATTTGACAAAAGCAAGGAGCATTACTACAAGTGTCAGCGCTTTAGTCATTATGCGAAAGAATGTAATGCAAACAAGAAGGAATCTCAAAGGGATAAAGCCAAGGTTGCAAGATAAAATTTTGATGAAGAGAGTACATTCTTGGTCATGATCACAAAGGAGGATATTGGAATAAGCAACCATACGATTGGTGAAAACTAAATTGAGAGAAATTTTGAAAGTGGGGAGTGAAAGAGGAGTAATTAAGAGAGAGAGAGAGAGAGAGAGAGAGAGAGAGAGAGAGAGAGTGAGAGAGAGAGAATTGAGGGTGAGAATGCATAAATATTCATTAGCTTGGGTGAGAGTGCACCCATCACACTTATATAGAGGTTACAACACAAGTTGGATACAAAATGATCAAATACAATAGCAGAATACTCAAAAACTCGTGCTTGTAACCGAGTACGCCAAAATGGGTAACCGATTACACTTATAGCTAATTAATTCTAGAATTAATTCACTTACAATGGTAACCGGTCACACCAAAACTGGTAATCGGTTACACCTTCGAAAAATGCACTTTTCTGCTACTGAACTACATGATAACACTTATAATTAAACATCAAACCTCAACACACCACCTTAATTCAAGTGTTGTTGGTCTACCATCCCCGTTCTCATCTTTAACCTCTTTAAAAAATCATTTGTGACCCCTTTGACTTGTCGAATTCCTTGAATTTTGAGATTCTTTTCCACCAAAATTCTAAAAATTCCCTCTGTTCTTTGCGAGACATTTTTTGTTCGATCTCTTTTCTTTGTCGTTGAAACGAGCTTGTAAAGCGATCTCCATCTTTGTCTTATCGTTGTTCCTTTCTTCCATCCTTTACTCATGATCCTCAAGAGAGCTTTGCAACTCCTCTTTGCTCATCGTCACAAGATCTTTCGACTTCTCAATCGCCATAACTATGTTGTCGAATCATGGTGTTAATGAACACAAGATTTTAGCCACAACATATTGCTCCATAATGGTTTCTTCGCATGCCTTCACTTGGTTCACGTACCGAGTGATTCTCGTTACAAAATCGTTGATTGTCTTCTTCTCTTTCATTTGAATTCATTCAAGCTGTCGTTTGTGAGTTTGTAATCCCACCACCTTCGCCTTGTCATCC